TCCTGCTAGAGCCTTAGCTGCACTGTAGATCATCTGTCGACGAGACATGCCAGTGAATACCATGTGCCAGTCAGTCCTGTTGACGTTCAGCATACTCTTCTCAAGCACTTCACCCACGGTCACCAACAGGCCTGACCATCTCAGATTGTAGTCCTGAGGAGTGAGACTCTTAGCCTGTGTAACATTTTGAGAAGTGATTATTGAAAGAGTTTGAAATTAGTAGTTTTGTTTCTATCTTCACCATTACCAACTTTTGTAAGTAATCATTCTTATATCAATAGGACTATATGGCAAATTAAAGGGTATCAGAATCCAAATTTCAGTCTGCCCCATAATTTGCCTAGCCAATTATACTTTTTGGATTTATGTGTATCAAGATCCAAATGACATCTAAACAGTATAAAACTAAAATACGATGCTTAAGAGAGTAATGACATTCTGCCACTACCAGGAAATAGTTTTCTCTTTTAAAGTAGCAAACAGATGGAATCAATAACAATACATATTTATACAATGACTCTTACCCTCCATAGGTTTTAAAAACCGTTAAAATGTCCCTCTGAAGTAGGCAAGTAGCCAGATACAGGAAGAAAGCTGAGCCTGGCAGAAATGGAGGACTGAGCTATTTGCATGAGATCACAGAGGGATTACATACTGTAATTCTCTGAAGTTGGAAGCAGAAGAGAAAAAGTGGGGCAAGTATCACTGCGTTTATCTGGTCTGATGCCCATCCTAGGCAATCACCTCCGACCACTGTTGCATACAATGAAGGGTAGAAGATTTTTAGCCTCAGTAAGACTATTCCTAGGATTACTCAGTTCTTCATAACATTGCACATGCGGCCCAATTCTTCGTACAGATTTTATTTTGACAAATATTCGACTTAGACTGTTTTCAGTGCATGTACAGCAGATCAAAGTTCATTAGTATGTTCCAGCCTTCCTAAAACTACCGTCTTGCAACAATAACACCATATATAAGTTTGTTAGAATATGCAGTCTTCTCCAGTATCAAAATAAATTGTTATTGTCAAGAGGTACATAAAAGGCAGATTTCTTAAGCAAAGGAACAGGAAATTTTCCTTATTAGTCAGAACATCTAGCTGCAAGTAGGGACTGAGTATCTGATTATGATAGCTCCATTATGATCCACAATTGCACACAACTTCATAAATTAATTATTTTGTATTTTTACTGCCAAAAATCAGTAAACTTCAAATAAAACAAAAAAAACCCCAACCTTGACATAGTTTCCCATCATGCTTGCAATTTATGGTTCAGCTAAAAACAAGATGACACCCGGTCTCTTAACAGAAAAAGGTTTTCAAAACAAGCCCTCAAATCCACCTTTTTACCTTCTCAAATCAAGCAATATTTAGGGTTATGAACAGCCCTAGGGTTATGAGTCTCTTGTTACGTGCTCAGAAAACTCTATGCCATTGGTAAAGACATTCATAAGAGAGTATCTATTCTATACAGACAGTTTTACCACTATTTCCATTACACAGAACAATAAAACACATAGCTAGCAAGAACTTCGAGGAACAAAATTGCTTTTAATGTTGCCTCTATTAAATCTTTCGTACTGTGAATAACAAATAACATTGCCTGTCCAACACATATTTCTTCTCTGTTCTTAGTCTGAAATACAACTATACAATTGCTGGGCTTTTTTCCTGTTGTAATCTAGATTTTGCTTGAAGATATTGGACTGGATTTATACAAACGTATGCTTCTTGCACACCCCTGAGAGAAACACACTCTGATTCTAGAAAAGGCATAATGGGAACAAAGGTAACAACTGGTGCACGCACACAAACAAGAGCCCAATGATTTGCCACCACACATTACGCATAAGTTAACTGAAATATGTAACAGCAAGACTAGGAAAAATTTAACTCTGAAGGTATGAAACAAAGCTATGTTTTGCTGTTGATGGATACACAAGAACAGTTTTCTTTAAATAGGAGAGTAGAATTCGATCTAATTCAAGTTTAAAGGCTTACAGTTCCACTGAATCTGTACTATACACCAAGCTATACACTAAATGGGTTGCATAAAAGTTAAAACAAGAACGTTTTCTGCTGTTACAAGGTAAACACTACTTTTCAAAGTTACAAAGTATGTTTATCTAAGAGAAAAAAATACTCAAAAAATTCAGCTATTAACTATAGTTTTTAAATTACAAAAAAGAGAATATTCTGTGAAACAAAAATTAAAGATACCTATTGTGTTTTATGTTTAAAAAAACAATTTAGTTCATATCAATGCTCTGTAGAGAATGTGACAATTTTTAAGTAGTAACTTCACATTGCTGTGCCTATTTTCATAGCATCATAGAATGGTTTGGGTTTGAAGGGACCTTTAAAGATCACCTAGTCAATGAAATTTTATCTGCTTAATTAATATTTTTTTCCTGTAGCTTCACGTCTTTCTCCACTCTTTTTGAAAAGCATTCTAGAACACTATAGAAAGACAGAACAATATTTCTCCTTTTGCCATTCATCAGCTTTTTAAAGTTGTAAGAACTCTGAAAAATAAGAACTAAAACCATCCCACAAATGTTCACTCTACTGGAATTGGTACGACCAAAAAAAAAAATTAAACAGTTACTCTTTGTTTTCCCAAAACAAGCCCCTGAGGATCAAACCCCAAATGGTTTTATTTTGAAATTCTTCACGGAAACATTTATTTAAAAAGATTTTTCAGACCAGAGTTAATTAATGTATGACTCATATCTGCTGTCAGGCAACATGCAGTGACTGGAGTTTGGAGTAATTCCCAGTTCGTGCCCAAAGAAATGTAAACAATCTCATGAAAAACTTCTATTGGTGATATTTAAGAACTGCACAGTACTGCATTATTTTCAATGGGATGAACTATGATATTTCCAAGATTTAAATCTTTCCATTTCAGAAATTTTACATCTTTATCAGAATAGTACAGTCAGAAGAAGAAATCATTCTTGCCTTTTAGGTGAGAGTCTATATGCTCATGGTGGAATTAAGTTCAAACACAGATCTCAAGAAGGGGTATCCTTTATTTATTTATTAGGAATAAGTTTTTGGAATACTAATCAGTACAGTATGCTGTCTGTTTGCTGGTAGTTAACAACATAAATACTGAGGCTTTATGAGCTTTATTAAAAATTGAGTGGTAAGATCTGAATTTATTAACCTGTGCCTAAATGAAGTGTAAGCTACTTCACTGAATTGCTAACATGTACATGTGTGCACACAGACAATTCGCTATTACACAGTTTTGATGGCATGAGATGAAACTCCAATACATATGCGAAGTAAGTTAAGGAAAGGAAACCACGCCTTCGGATGGATAACAGTGCTTACTGCACTTCCTTGGTGCAGTTGCTTAGTGCATTTCTTAAGCTCCAAAGACCTCCTTCCACACCTGAGGAAGAATGAGTATTCTTATTTTACCTATGTAAAGATTCATGAGAATTAATTTTGAGTCAGAACCAGACTGATGACAATATTTCATTGATTTAAGTTGTATTTCCTTTTGAGGGACTACTTCTTTGTGATTAGTTTCTTCTTGGAATATTTCTTCTTCGTTAATAGAAAAGTAAAACTAGTACTTCCAAGTGCCACGTACTGCAAAATGAGACTTCTGGTCAAGAATTGCTTTGCCATAAATGCCTAAAGATTTTTAGGTAATACATAAACATGATTAAAAAATAGGTTTTATCCTCATTTCATAAATTAAAACATTCAAGTGGACCAACTGGCAGTAAGAACTGACATCATAAATGAAATTAAAACTTAAGTCTTATGTCTCAACTGCTAA